TGTCTACATCTTCAAATTCTGACTCACAGATTAGGCTAGAAACAGTGAGGACATAGAATCTCCTATCTTGTCCTCATAGCAGGAAAGTCCAGGCAGTCATCTCTTGCCTTTGTCCTCCACACTCCCCTTCCAGACACAGGACCCCACTCCCCAGCTGGCACAGGCCTCAGGGAAGGAGATCACAGGCATCCTAAATGGTGAAGCTATTGACAGCCCTTTCTCCCTGCTCCTTCACCTTTTCTAAAGATATACACATGTTACAAGAGCATATATCACTGGGCACAGTGGCTCTCACATGTAATCCCGACACACTGGGAAGCCAATGCAGGAAGATAGTTTGAGACCAGCCTGAGCACTATAACAAGACTCTGTCTCTACAAAAAAACATTTAAAAGTAGCCAGACATAGTGGCATGTGCCTGTAGTCCCAGCTGCTCAGGAGGCTAAGGCAGGAGGACCACTTTGAGCCCAGGAGTTGAAGGCTATATACAGTGAGCTATAACCGCACTACTGCATTCCAGCCTGGGCAGTAGAGCGAGACCCTATCTCAAAAAAGAGCATTAATCTAAGAATAATTGTAACTCAATTGCATTTGGTTTGAGATCACAGATAATTTACCTATGAAGCCATCCTCTGGCAGAATGATAGATCTCATTAATAGGTGCTTTTTTTTGACATAGTCTCACCATGTCATCCAGGCTAGAGTGTCAGGGCATCATAGCATTTTAATAGAGATGAAAGTCTCAAGCAATCATCCAGCCTCGACCTCCCAGAATGCTAGTATTACAGGCAGAGCCACCGCGCCCTATCATTAATAGGCTTTTAGCTCGCAGAAGAATTACGACAAAGGGAAAAGGGAGTGATTGGTTAAGACAAATGCCAGATTCCTTACCCCTAGGGGAGGCCTCTCGACCTCTGACCTCAGTTTTTCCCCTCCCAGGTTTGGCTTCATCCTCAACAAATCCGGCCCCGCGGTCCACAAGGTGGACCTGGAAACACTGCTGCTCCTCAAGACCATCGGCCTCCAGCAGCACAGCTGCATGCCGCAGGCCATGGCGCACACCCACCGAGGCGGCTACTTCTTCGTGCAGTGCGGGCAGGACAGCTCTGCTCCCACCACCCGGCAGCTGATCATCGACAGCGTCACGGATTCCGTGGTCGGCCCTAACGGTGACGTGGCAGGCACCCCACATGTGTCCCCAGACGGGCGCTTTGTGGTCAGCGCTGCTGCCGACAGTCCCTGGCTGCATGTGCAGGAAGTCACCACGCGAGGGGAGATCCAGACCCGGTACCGCCTGGAAGTGCGGCCGGGCATCTCGGACCTGGCCTTCCAGCGCTCCTTCACCGAGGCCAACCAGTACGACGCGTACGCCACGCTGGCGCGGGGGCCCGGCCTGCTCTTCCTGGAGCTGCCCACCGGCAAGGCGGCCGTGCTGAAGGACCTAAAGGGGCCGCCCACGGGGCCCAGCCGGCCCTGGGGGGGACCCCGAAGGATCCTGAGGGACAGTGGGCTGTTCGGACAGTACCTCCTCACCCCGGCCCAAGAGTCACTGTTCCTCGTCAATGGGAGACAAAATGCACTGCGGTGTGAGGTGTCGGGCATAAAAGGGGGGACCACGGTGGTGTGGGTGGGCGAGGTATGAGGGATCCCCCAGCAGAGCCTTGGGCCAAGGAGCACGGCCTCGTCCTGACACCGCATCCCCAAGCTGGCGCCTGTACATTTTTCCAGACAAAAGCAAAAACCTGTATTCGCTTTGTGGTTCAACACTGGTCTCCTTGCAAGTTTCCTAGTATACGGTACGCGCTGCTACCAAGATCGGGGTTTTTTCGTTAGGAAGTATGATTTATGCCTTGAGCTGCAGTGCGATCACATGCTGCTGTGTAAAGGAATCATTTCTGTGCTGAGCTGCACGCCACGTTACCTGGGGACGCCGCGGAACCGAGATCCTGCCTTCCCGGCTGACACTTCTGTCGGCTGCCTTCACATCGTCATGTCCTTTCCCGCCAGAGCCTGCCAGACTTCACCCTGACCGAGGGGCCTGGAAGCAGAGGCCGGCCAGGGGCTGGGGCTCTCCCTCCGCCCTTGCCTGGGACCACGTTTCTCCTTCACAGCTGCTTCTTGCTTTTCTTTCCATTTGACTTGTAAGCCTGAGGGAGAGCCAACAGGACTTATTTCATCTTGGGGGAAGGGGAAATCACTCACTTTATTTTGGAAATTTTTAATTAAAAAATAATTTTTTATAATCTCAATAGCTAGTAAGCAGAAAGATGTTCTCGAGGTCCAGCTGTCGTCTTCCCTGCCTTAGGCCAAGTCACTTGGGGTCACAACCCCATATTCCATAGCCAGAAAGAACATTGGTCACCCAAGAACACCGGCCCTCCAGCTTATCGGCAGCCCCGGTTGTCTACGTGCAGATAGCCACCATGTTGGTAAAGACTCAGTTCTGTGCTGGAACCCCAGGAGTTCAGGACATGCTCCCTTGTGCCTGCTTTTCATGAGCCAGGCCCAGAAGTCCAGATTCAGGCAGGCTGGGGTTGCCTGATAAGGTATAGGCAGTCTCTAGGCTCAGCAAAGAAACCCCAGACACACAAGCGGATCCTGGGAGTTCTTGAGGTTGTACCTGCTAAAAATGGATTTTTTTGTCTGCCTATGGCCCATCCACTCAGCTCTGGTATCCTAACCCCCCATCAACACTGTTTCAGCAAGGCTTTTGTACTCACATGCCCCAACATACATACACTCCAAAACCCAGGTTCCCAAGGCTGCAGACTGGCACTGGTGTGTTATTCCCAAATGTCTCAGGCTATGGTGACTCTCAGGTGGGCATCAAAGAAATAACCCAGCTAGCCCTGTGGAGACCACCTAGGTCAGAACTCTCAGCAAAAATGAGGCTCCCTGGGGTTCTCAGAACACTCCTTCCCTCTATCTCATGTCAGTGGCCAAAACTTCCTGCTTACAGGATTGAAGGATCATTTTGTTAGCCCCACAGGGTTGGGAGAGGGGGTCCCAGATACCTTAGCTAATTTAGCCACTTTCACCTGCTGACATGGCCATGATTTTCGTTTGCTGTCAAGGAGTGACCCTTTTCAAGGAGAGGCAGACCTACACGCTGGGTCATGCACAATACACCCAGCTCATTTTCACTCCCACCTGACTGCCCAGCCCATCTTCCCCTCAAATTTCCCTCTTATACATTTTATGTTTCTTGGTCCACCAAATTCCTGTCCCCTACAACTTCAGGACTGTGCCTAGGATAACACGTCTGTTCATCTTTTAGATTTAGATTTCAAAAGGTAAGCTATATAGATAAAGGTCATGGAAACTAACCTAAAAGCCTAATAATTCAATTTCACAATAGCTGGGATGGATGGATAACACATCTCACACTTTATTTTTTCTGCCTCAATATCTTGATGCCTTTACTCCCAAACCCTCATTTTTACTACTGAAATTCTCCAACTTTCATAAATGTTTCCTTTTGATAAAATCTCTTAAATTGTGTCAGACCCTGCAGAAAAAGAGTCTCTGAGCCAAAAGGAAAAAGAGTCCCACTGACCACCAGGCCACAACCTCAGCCCCTCTGAGCTGTCTATTATTTTAAGACCAAACTAATCCAGAATGGTCTTTTTTTAAAAAAAATCAGGAGTTGATGGAGTCAACTTCTATAATGTCTGTTCTTTTTCCACTGTTCCTTCTGGCCCTAAGTGTGTCTAGAAAGCATATCTGCCTTTCTCTGTCCTCGCAGGCAGTTACTGGAGACAGTTAGCTTAGGTCTTGCTGCCAGCCTGCTGGACACCATTGAACCAGAGCAGGAAACAGCAGGCCTGAAACTCAGGCCAGGGTTTCAGGATTCCAGCCCTAGGAGGCACAGTCACAAATGTAGGGGGAGCAAATGTGTTTTAGCAGTGAGCCCAGTATTGCTGCCCAGCTGGCTATTGAGGGAATAGGGCCAGACCCTCCTGCCCTTCCTCCCACACCTGTCTCCAGAAGAGGCTGGAGGAGCACAGTGTGAAAGCCACTGGCTGGAGATGTGTCACCGAAGGTAGGCCTCCCAGAACTGACCCAGCAGAGGTCATCCTCCTGCTGAACACCCAAGGACAAGCCACAACTAACATTTTGCTTTACTAAAATGAAGTATTGACTTCTATTGACCAAAAGAATCACCAAAAAAGCCAATTATATAAACTGTCTCAGTAATTTTAAAATAAAATTATTTTCACAAAAACTCAAGGTTTTTTGCCCAAAATGACAAACACAAATCATCTGCACCTGTGGCAGCAATAAGGCTTTGAAATGAAGGCCCTCATTTTCCTTCTGCTCAAGGGAGCAGAACTCTGCATGAAGAGTGTGGGTCCACGAGCCCACACAGCCAGCCCCAGATGGATGATAGGAAGAGGGACCACTGGCTTCCAGACAATCCTGTAAGCCTTCTGCATGAGCAGGCCTGCGAGTGGGCCACCCTCAGCATGGCAAAGCTGTCACCCTAAGCTCAGCAACACTGACCCAGCCAGCCCTGCCTGGGGTTGGCCCAGGCTTATTTCATCAGTCTCCTGGCCATTCAGGTGTCCTATCACTTCCCTCAGGCCCCAGGAAGACACTGGAAAAGCACTGTAAATCTTGGCTAGGGCCAAATACTAATACCAACCTTTAGGTACTTTGACCTAAAGATAGTAGCACCAGAGATAGAAACTCAGTCCCTACCATCTCTACCCCCTACCCAAACTTCTCCCTATCCCCCTGTTCATCTGTGCAGACAAGGGCTTCCAACTCCAGACAGGTGCCCAGAAAGATGACTTTCAAACCCAAATAAAGCAGAAGGCTTCCCACTGCCATAGAGAATTGCAACTGCTGAGTATTCACATAGGAAAGCAACTAGGAGCTGGCTTCATACAGCCAAATCTTCGTGTTTTCCATTGACCAATAACCTGTGAACTAAAGATTTCAGAAATGATATGTGAAACAGATCCATTCTAGATATATTTTTCTACAAGGGGCTTAAAAATTATAGTTGACTCATCTTTCTTTCATAATGTGTTTCACTCAAACACCACAGACACTGAACCATCTTCACTAGCAAATCCTACATATCTCGCCCCCTCTTCCTACACCCCTCTTGAGAAGCCAGCCTCCAGCAGAGTTGACGCCACTCCCACCTCCCTCCTATGCATCTTCCAGTGTACCTCACATTCTCCCCCTGCACTCAGCACCACCAGAATGCTGCTCTGACCGATGATGTGGGACAGTTGCAGTGCTGCCACAGAAGTCCTCTGGGGAGAAGCCTCCCCAACAAACTCAGAATTCACTGGGACACTACCCAGAATCTCACCCCCAAAACCCTAGTTTGCAGACCTTTGCAGTTAAGTGGCCAAGACTAGAGAGACAGCTCTCTCAGAAGTGTCAGGGAAGCCGGATATCATCAGGCACGAATAGAGACCATAACATCTCAGCTAAGCCGTCTGGGTTCGCAGGCCCAAGCCCCCCAGCCTCCCTCCATTCCAATTTCATTCTCTGCCTCTCCTGTTCCCAAACTGTATAGCGGATCCCCTGCTCCTGAACTGCTCCACAACCACCCCTCCCAACCAAGGAGCATCTGACCTGACCACAACCCCAACCCCAACCCCAGTGCCCTTTGCTCATGCTGCTTTCTTGCTTCAGGGTCCAAGTGAGACGCCACCCATAGGCCAGGTACTTCAGTCTGCTCCCAGACTGGCATGTAGGCAAAGAAGTTGTGTTCAAGAAAGTCACTAGCTGCCTTGGTTTCTCTCCAAAATCACAGAGATCATAAAAAAAGAGATGCTTAAAAAATTCAAGAGCAAAAAAATACAGTGCTTATCCTCAGGGTGTGACTACAAGACCCC